CAACCAAATTTCCATTCAAAGGCTGCCATGAGACTTCCAATTTTTCAACAAAATTGGGCTGCCATGAAATTTCCCATGCAACCAAATTTCAAAGGTTGAAATTTGCTTTTTCAACCACCATGCAAAACCCACATGCTGCAACACTTCCTTACTCAAATATTGAATGTCGTTGAACAAACCTCCTAGATCGTCAATTGCTTTTCTCAATACATCTTTCCGATCGAGGGACACAGTGGCCATTACAGCGGGCTGCATCTCTAGAAGGTAAAACATATATTCGGAGAGTAACTTGGATACCTCTCTACAATCACATGTAGGACATTTGCAGAGCTCATCAAGAAAGCAGAATTCAGTGGCTAAGTGCCACGTTAGAAGGCTTTCCATGTAATCTAAACCCTTGATGCTCCAGATGAGGTGCCGATCTTTGTCATTGCTTTGAAGAATTCCATCACCTCTTTTTAAACAAATTTGCTTGCCCATTTCGTCCATCACTGCAAGCTCAGCCTTCTTCTTCAGTTCTTCAAAAATGAAGAGCCAGTCTTTGTCTTCACTAATTTTTGGGCAGGTGGCGTACAAATTGAACCTTATGAAACGAAGAGTTTGATTTCCTCTAAAATAGGCTATAAAGTTGTACCGGGAGATTCTTTTGTATGATTTTATAATTTAACTTAGAACTTTAAATTCTTTCAATTAAGTTTCCTTTCTCGAGTTTCTTTTCCATTTTCTTGAATTTCTTTTTGCATATAGCATTTAAAACAAAATAAAGTTATATTAGTCCAAGAAAAAAGTTATTTTTATATTTTTATATTTTATGATTTTTTTATTTATGATTTTTGTCACGCCCTAGAACTCAAATCCGAGGACGTGGCAGACGTCGTACACTTGTGAGAGGGTCCCACAAATGCACAAGGTTCGAAACTTATCCCATTCACATCTGACAATCCAATAACTTAAATCAGATATTTCAAAATAATTCTATGTCCAACATGACTTAAACTCAAATTCTCAAGGTCAAATTTCTTGTAAACTAACACATGTTTTACTGTGTTGTTGACTCAGATTCTTTGATATAGTCATGTTTTACAGTGCTGTTGACCATATCACATGACCATATCAAATTTCTTGGAAAATATCCTAGTTGACATTGAAGGCTGTCCCTCTATGGATGTGCGAGTTGAGTATCCTTGGTTGCCTACCACTTGCAGTACTTGTAATAAACGAGGACATACCGCTCACAATTGAAAGTCAAGGAAAGACAAACCGCAGCCTAATAAGAAAGAGTGGGTAAAAGTTACTGAGATGAACAAAAGGAAACAACCAGATGTGTCTTGCAGGCAGGTGAATGATGTTCAAAATATGGAGTCTGCATTTTCTACTTGTCATGAAGTAATACCAGTGCAGAAAGAAAACCAACCTGTCAAGCCACTTTTACAGAATGAAA